TAAGGGTTTAGGGTTTAGGGTTTAGGGTTTAGGGTTTAGGGTTTAGGGTTTAGGGTTTAGGGTTGACCGGATGCCACTGCGGCGGTCCTCGAATGTCCTGATTTTGCGGCAGAAACAGTTGGCGGCCGAGATTTGCACTTGCTGTCGCCACCTTGGCGGCTGTAAGCCTCTGAAAAAAAGTCCCTAAACCCTAAAACCTAAACCCCTACAAAAATCCTAAACTCTAAACCCTAAACCCTAAACCCTAGAACAACCAGGCAGTACAGAAAATCCTGCAGTTACTGCTGAGGGGGCCTTTGGCTCGGGGCTTCGGGGCTGTTGGAGTTTCGGAGGGCAGGGCCTGGTGCAGAGTTTGGGAATTTGGGGTTTAGGGTTTGGGAGTTTGGGGTGTAGGGTTTAGGGGTTTAGGGGTTAGGGTTCAGGGTTTTGGGGTTTGGGGTTTAGGGGTTTAGGGCTTAGGGTTCAGGGGTTCAGGGTTTAGGGGTTTAGGGTATACCTTCAACTAGCAGAAGCTATTTTTGTAGGCCCGTATTATAAACCCTTAATATAGAATTTATACGGACCCTACAAATAAATAGGTTTTGGTAGTTTAAGGTAGGGTTTAGGGTTTATTTAGGGGTGTATGGGTTAAGGATGAAAGCTCTGGTTTCGAGGACTTAATCAACCGATATCTAAACCCGAAAGTCCTCAAAGTCAAACTCTAAGCCCAAGAGGCCCTACACCCTAATCCCTAGGGTTTAGGGTTTAGGGCTTAGGGCAAGATAGGCTGATGGGGGTGCAGGGCCTCCGGGCTCAGGGCTTTTCAGGATTAGAGCCTTGGGGAGGAGGGAGTTGCTTCTGAGGGCCTGAGGACTCAAATCAGCTGTCGGCAGATCCTTAAGGTCCTTAGGCTTAATCGGCGAAGACCATCGACTTCTCTGTGGTACTATGGGGTCCTTATTACTGTCGCGGTCTCCTCCTTTTGTGGGCCTGGGGCATGCTATTGTATGCAACATAATCACCATAAGGAGCCCTGAGCAACAATATCTCAGGCTCCCATCTTAACCGCCAAACACGCTTAAAACCCGAAGCCACTTAATATCCTAGACGGAGCCAAAAGGGATGAGGACGTCCAGAACCCCAAAACCGTAAACCCAAAACCGAAAACCTCAAACCCCTAAATCCTAAACCCCTACACCCCAAACCCAAACCCGAAACCCAAAACCTTAAACCCCAAAACCCCTAAACCCCTTAACCCCTAAACCCTAAACCCTAAACCCCTAAACCCCAAACCCATTCATCCCAGAAAAAAGCGCGCACCTCCACAGGGAAGTAGACAGGCGGCCTGGACACTCACATGGCTCAGGATTAGAGCAGGGTTTAGTCTAGTTTCGTTTAGGGTCGCGGGTTTACGGCTTTAGGATTTAAGAATTTAGATTCATTTAGGTTGGGGTTGAGGGTTTAGGGTTTAGGAAAAACCCTATACCCTAAAACCCGTAAACTCTAAACCCTAAACGTCAGGGTTTGGAGTTTGGGGTTTCGGGTCTCGTGCAACTTCGGGAGGAGGTTTAGAGTTTGGCGTACCTCAATCCCAGAAGGCTTACCTTTCGGGTTTAGGGTTGAAGGGTTTAGGGTAAGACTGAAGAAGCTGAAGGAATCATAATCAGAAGCCCCAATCATGCAGGTATTCTTAGTTGCTGAGTTCATAAGCCCCCCCCCCAAAAAAAAAGTGTAAACTTTCAGCTTGAAAAAACCAACCCTAAACCCTAAACCCAAAAAGTCTAAAGTGGACCCATTCAGCTACTAAGCATTCGAGGTTTCACGGCAGGCCTTTGGATAAGTTCTGGGTTTATTGCCGTCGGATGTCCCGTTTATTGTGCAGCCACTTATCGGAGGAAGGTTTAGGGTTTAGGTTGGTTGGTTGGTTGGTTGGTTGGTTGGTTGGTTGGTGGGTTGGTTGGTTGGTTGGTTGGTT